TCACCATATTAATGTCATCTTCTTCCTGGTCATGTTCTTGTTGTTAGGAGCAATCAAGCTCAATACAACTCATGGCAGCCCCAAGAATAACAGACTCAAACCCTCCTCTATCCTAGACCATCTCTGCAATCTCCAACATGCTCCAGCCCATTGTTACAGGCACTGTGTCCATCCATCTTGCTGAAAGTCGTCCTCTCTTTCTCTGACCCTCCACCTTTCCCAACATGATGGTTTTTTCCGAGGACTGGCCCTTCCTTGAAAACATGCCCAAAGAATGTGAGATAAAGCTTCACCATCCTTGCACTTCCACCAGGACAGCTTTGTTGGCTATTTTGGCAGTCCCTGGGATACTCAACACTCTTCAACACCGCAATTCACGATTGTTGTTATGTGCCGTCGAGTCGCTTCCAACTCATAGCGACCCTATGCACAACAGCCCTAAACCCTGCTCTATCCTGCGCCAACTGCACCGCCTCTGCCACACCCATCCCGATTACCCCAGTCACCGAATCAATCCATCTCATAGAGGGTCTTCCCCTCCTGCGCCATCCCTTCACCCTCCCAAGCATGATGTCCCTCTCCAAGAACCCGTCCCTCCTGGCAACATGTCCAAAGTATGTCAGACGAAGCCCCAGAATCCTTGCCTCCAAGAAGTAGCTTGGTTTAATCCTCTCCAAGATGAATCTGTTTGTTTTCCTGGCAGTCCATGGTACATTCAGTACCCTTCTCCAGCACCACAGCTCAAAAGCATCCACTCTCCTGCTGTCCTCCCTAGTCATTGTCCAACTCTCTGATGCATAACAAGCGATTGCAAATACCATGGCCTGTATCAGGCGCACCTTAGTCTCCAGAGAGACACTGTTGCTCCTGAGTACCTTAGAGAGGTCCCTAACAGCAGACTTTCCCATCGCGATACGCTTTTGATTTCCTGACTGCTGGTGCTAAGAGATGCATTAAAAAATAAAATCGGAGAAGAACAGGCTGGTTTGCAAACTAAAACTACACAGAATATAAGAAGTCTAGAAACTTGGGCCTCAGAAGCCTTGCTAGAAAATGGAATGAATGTGTACAGACACAAAAGAAAGAACTCTCTTGGGGTACAGTCACATCCCGAGGGAGCAATGGGCAAAGAAGATCATTCTAGAGCAACCAGGTCTCGGCAAGGAATTTCTCCTACTGCCAAGTCAGAGAAACTTCTCAGTGTCTACCCAAGAAAAACACATACTCTGCTGTGAACAAAGAATACCAGATGTTTTCCATAATTTTCTTCTCAGAACACTTTGTTTTCATGCAAAACCTGTACTTGGATCAGGAAGCAGTAGTCAGAACAGAGCAGGTAAACATTACATGGTTCAGGATAAGGGAAAGTGTGCATCAAGGATCTATCTCCATACCTTTACAATCTATATGTACAACAGATCATTCAGGACTTATGAGAAAGAATGTGGCACCAGAATTGGAGGAAGATTCATCAACAACCTATGTTACACAGATGACACAACCTTGCTTGCTGAAAGTGAGAATGACATTTGCTGCAGAACGTCAAGAACTGTAGTCTTCAATATGGAATGAATCTCAACATCAAGAAAACAAAGATTCTCACCATTTTGCCAACTGGCAGCTTCAAGACAGAAGAGATTTGAGATAGTTAACTTCAGCTTTGCTTGGTTCCACAGTCTGGAAATCAAAAGATGAATTGCATTGGGCAAGTCTGCTGTCAGAGGCCACTCTAGAGTACTGAAGAGCAATGATGTCTGCAGACTAAGGTGCACCTCATCCAGGCCATCGCAGTTACTTGCTCTGCATCTGAGAGCTGGACAATAACTAAGGATGATAAAAGAAGGATCGATGCCTTTGAGTTGTGGTTCTGGAGAAGAATGTTGAACATATGGTGGACTGCAGGAAGAACAAACAAGGCTGTCCTAGAGAGGGTGAAACCAGGCTGTTCCCTGGAGGCAATGATTCTGAAACTCCATCTCTCATACTTTGGGCATGTGGCCAAGAGGGGCCAGTCCTTGCAGAGGGACATCATGCTTGGAAGGGCGGAGGGGCAGAGCAGGAGAAGAAGACCCTCTATGAAAACCCAGGGTGCGATGGATTGACTCAGTGACTGGAGAAATGGGATTACATCTGCTGGGGATGATGAAATTGGCTTGGAATAGGGCAAGGTTCAGAGCTTGGTTCATAAGGTCACTTGAGTTGCAGGTGACTCAATGGCACATAACAACAAGAGCAATAAAGTTTTCATAATATGGTTATCCTATTTCACTTTTATCACTATATATCAGAGACACTCAGTTCAGTGGTCACCAGTGTGTGAGGGACTACACTTGGATCTGATGGAGGGAACTGAGCACCACTGGAAAATACTAGATGGCTGTGTTAACTGGATAAGACACTGGTTGCCGCCCTTCAGGAATAAATGTGTTCTACATATGGAAGGAAGAGAGGACTGTGAGAGACCATGTACTATTCACAAAACTGTTCACTTCTTAAGGACAGAGTGAAATTCCATTTCCATTCTTTCCTGAGGCACTATTATTTTTCATAGGCATAACAAAAATTAAGTTACAAATTCACAAAAGGCTTCATTTCTTTATATGACAAAAACATGGCAAACAGCTAATTGTTTATACCAAATGAATGTCACAGTAGAAAAGTTAATTTTAAAGTGATCTAAATCTACTTCAGAGTCTAACCTGAAATGCTTGAAATGAAATGATTTCTCTCCCCATGCTTGGGAGGGTAGAGGGACAGCACAAGAGAGGAAGACCCTCTATGAGATGCATTGATTCCGTGACTGGGGTAGGTGTGTCAGAGACATGAGACTAGCACAGGATAGAATAGGGTTTAGGGCTGTTGTACATAAGATTGCAATGAGTCACAGGCAACTCAACGGCACATAACAACATCATGCCTTAATAATCTTACTTATTGAGTAAGGATATTATTCATAAAATCCTCTTTCACCAAAAAGGAAGTAAAGTTACTTTCTCAAGCCATAACCTAGAAAAGTAATTTTAAAAAGGAAGCATCCAATGAGATTTTGTATTATACTACTGTATTTTGAAAATTTATGAACCATTAATCAACCAGAATACCCAAGCTTGTTTTACACAAAATCTATACATTTTACACATTCTATACACAAAATCCATTCAGCAGGACGAAACTATGTTTTCAATGCATAGTTTTGTTACTTCAACATTACAAGAAGACATGATATATTTCTATCAGAAGTTTGTCATCAACTATTTTTAAATGCTGAGCTTTATAAAGTGTAACACTGACAAGACTAAAAGAAGAAAAAGAACAGAAACACTCCTTTAGGAAAGGGTAATCGGAAGCCACTTTTTTTAAGCCACTTTTGCAGAACCAAAGAGATATTTGAATAGCGATTACCAAGTTGGTTGATTCTTAAAATATAACCCCAGGCGAGCTCTGGTGGCCTAGTGGTAGGAAACTGCACTGCAATCCCAGAGGTGTGCGGTTCAAATCCACCAGATGCTCTGCTGAAGATGAAGGAACAATCGCCTCCTGTACCAGTCAGATCCAATTTGACGGTACATACACAAAAAAGAATAAAGAAATTTAAAAAAAAATATAACCCCAAATATAGCCTATGCCCTTATTTGTCACAGATGATGAGAATTATAAATGACCTATTCAAGAACACAGTTGTTTATAGAATAAAGACTCATTTTCCATAAACAACTTAAACTTTTATTTATTGTTGGGAGCTACATAATCAAGTACACTGAAAAATTTTAACAAAATCAACGTGACTTAAATTCCAAAAGTACTGCTACTAAAAATAACTATTACTTTACTTTTTTTACTTCTAGTGACAAAAGAAATTCAGATGTTCTTTAGGACTTTGGTCAGATGGATAAGGGGTTTTACTTAAAGATATGTAATATTTTTTTTTTCATTTATAGGGAAAAGCAAATGGCCTGATATAATCACGTTGTTGTTATGTGCCGTCAAGTCACTTGCGACTCATAACAACCTTATGTACAACAGCCCTAAACTCTATCCTGTGCCAGTCTTATTGTCTCTGACACACTTACCCCCATTACCCTAGTCACTGAATCAATGCATCTCATTGAGGATCTTCCTCTCCTGTGCTGTCCCTCCACGCTCCCAAGCATGACATCCCCCTCCAACGACTGGTCCTGCCCTGCAACATGTCCATAGTATGTTAGATGCAGCGTCAGAATCCTTGCCTCCAAGGAGCAGCCTGGTTTAACCCTCTCCAGGTCAAACCTGTTCCTTCTCTTAGCAGTCCATGGTATATTCAAAACTCTTCTCTAACACCACAGCTCAAAGGCATCAATTTTCCTTCTATCATCCCTAGTCACTGTCCAGCTCTCTGATGCATTTCAAGTGATTGCAAAGACCATGGCCTGTATAAGGCACACTTTATTCTCCAGACTGACATCATTGCTCGTCAGTCCTTTAGAGAGATCTCTGACAGCAGACTTACCCATCGCAATACATTTTTTTTAATTTCATGGCTGCTGGTGCCAACACAGTTGATTGTGGAGCCAAGCAAACCAAAGTTTTTTATAATCTGTCTATTCACCATCTATCACAATGCTGCTAATCAGCCCAGTGGCGAGAATCTTTGTTTTCTTGATATTGAGATAATATAATCATAATTCACAGTATTTCTTAATTAGTTTAATTAGTTGCTTTCATTCACTCTTACTGATTGAATCATTAAGTGGAAAGAAAATTTAAAATCTTCCAGGCTTCAAATCACATCCAAACTCAAGGAAAGTATTTTTTAAAAACTCTTCAAATCTACAGCATAAACCATCATGATTGAACAATATTTCTAAATATCCAGCATGAAATGATAAAATTGATGAACTGGTCCCCCTAAAGATAAAGGACTTTCCTACAATGACAAGAAAAGCAATGGTTAAGATACTTGGGAAAGAAAACCTATGTTTAACTGAGTATTTGCAAAGGCAATGACCAATCCCAAAACCTACTTGCTTCATGGCCGTCTCTCCAATTTTGTCGGAGTGTTTGCGAATGCTCTCCAGAAAGTCTTTGAGATCAGACATGGACACATCCTTAATCTCCTCCCGAAGCTTGGGGATGTTGTCCACCATCACCTTGCAAAAGCGGTAATGGCTCACTTGAGGCAGGTAGGTGTGCTCTAGGTGCTCCAGGGTTTTCAGTGCTGGATAATGTCTACAAAAAAAATGATGACCTTTAGCCCCAGGAAAGATTCTACAGTGTCACAAATATATGTGTCAGGCTAAAGCTCAAATCTGCATTCTTTACTGTATACATTAAGACAAACATAATGTTAACTTGTAATGAGAACATCTCTGGATTAGATATCTAATAATCTCAAATTATTAAAAATGGACTTTTAATCATCTCAAATTCTTTAAAATTAAAATAAATATAAAAGTTTAGTAATTTAGATCCAAAATTATAACCTAATAATGCAGAAAATTTTTCCAAAATCTACCAATAGCATTCACTATACAAAGAAATGAGAAGAAATTTTAAAACTATCTCCATACAAAGCAATCACTCTGTAAAATTAATTACCAAATCCAGAATTCAGTTTTAACAGGGGAAAGATGTTAGCAAATTCTTCTCAAAAAAATAGAGTGGGAAAAACAACTCTCAAAAAAGGACTATATCAGGGCCTAAAAGTTAGCCAATCACAGCCAACTTTAGGGTAAGAGCTAGAAACCAAGAAAGACAGCTCATTATAATGAAAGAAATAGCATTTATCTAATAGGTAAAAAAACTTCTACAACATAAGAGGAAGAATAAAATTAAGATTGATGAAATGGACTATGCAAAAACATTAAAAAGGTCATGTGTAAACATAAAAATGTCATGTGTAAACAGAACACAATATGAATAAAGAGGAAATGACAAAATAGTAAAGATTATTTGCAGCATATACAAGAATATTAATAAATTATTTAAATAAAGATAATTCACATAACAAAAGAAAATGGCCAATACATCTTCAGAAAGGTAAAATTGTTAAGAAATACAAATGAAAACCACAGTCTTATCATTACTTCTAAAGAGTTCTTAAAAAATAATGATCAATATAATGTTGTTAGACTGAGTAAGATGGGTTCAATAATGTATATTGCACTGAAACAGAGGAGGGAGAAAACTGTTTAAAAGAGATATGTGACTAGGTATTTCTGTCATCACAGGAGTCTAGAGCGAT